CTAGAGCAAAGGAGAGTTCCAAGGGAACCTGATCATATTAAATGTGAAGCTAAAATTAGATGCTTGTAAAAGCAGATCAGGATGCAAAAATTAAAAATAGGTGCTGTATCTGCAGAAAGTGACGGAGAATTAGATTTGAAGTCACCAAGGGAAGATGATTTAGAGGATCATATGTATAAATGAGAAAATAAAAAGTAGTTGGGAACAGCAGCATGTATAACAACAGATAGATTCCCATCCCAAGGCACAGGGGGAGCAGCACATAAAATCACTACTGCTTTACACAAGAAATAACCCACAGGATTTGGGACAAACAGGTTTTGATCTTCGGCCACAGAAAGCAAGCACAGCTGTGGACTGCCTCAAACTTCAAACTAAACTGAAATGAAACAGGTAAATTGATTAAAGCTTTACTCAGAGTAAAGTATCTGTATACAGCCTCCTTAATGACTGAATTAAGTCAAATTGCTGTGCAGACAGGTAAGAAGGAAATGCAGCTGGCAGCAATAACATGAAGTCATGAGCCAAGAAAAGACAGAGCATGTTTTATGAATAAATGAGGAGTTGCTCAGTTGTTGACAGGGTGTAATAGCAAGTACAAACCACACTTTGATTGATTGCTGTTGCTGCCAGGGGACTGTACCTGCTGCTTGAAGGTACCTGTACCCCATCAGCAAATTCCTTGAGCCTGATGGATTATGAGAACCAGCTGTCCAAATACAGCCCCATTATTTGCAAGAAATGTTGATGTAGCAGAATGAGAGGGAACCTACTTGGATAGCTGGAAGAATACTTTAAAATCTTACTATTATCAGTCTGGTCCAGGAGGTAAAAAACAAATAAAAAACCCCCTAAACTAGGAAACTAGGGAGAGTTCCTGCATCAATCAAGCAGAATCTGCAGTGAAACATTAACTGAAAACATGGACAGCAGAGAAGAGGATCTGGCAGAGGCAGTTTGCCTCAAGGAAAGAATGAAAGAAAAATATGGTTAGGGTTGGCACAGATTTCTCTAGCCCCTAGAGTTCTTGCCCTGGAACAAAGGGCAAAACCCTTGACTGTGCCCATATGGGCACAAATATTAGGGATGACACAACTCAGCTCTACATTGTTGCCTTCCTGACTCAAGATGAAGAATGAAGTATCCAGGCAAGTAGAGTGCTACTGAGTGCCAGCAAGTTTTTGGAAATTGCAACTGAAAAGTATAAGAAAAATTTGTGAAAACACTAGTCTAAAATATTAATTTCTTTTCCCCTGCTCTAAGGTCTGTAGGAGGGCAGTGTTTTTAAGCACACCTAAATTTACTTGACATGCCAGAAGAAGGGAATTCCACATTTGAGTCAGGCTCTAAAATGCAACTCGATAGCTGTTACTACCATACATGGACTTGATCTTAAATATGAGGAACTTCCCTTCAATTTTAAGAGATGGGAATCACTCCTATTCTAGAATTTTTTTGACTAATTTAACTATTCAGGTTAATGTTTAAAGATGACTAAGCAACAAAAACTGACCTCTGGCTTTATGACAACTTTACTTTAGGCTATACAGCAAACCCGTTAGGAATAAACATGTTAAATGCTGCCACAAAAATAAAAGTAGATGACCCAGAATGATTTTCAGCATTGCCATAGAAGCCTGACCCTCAGATCACTTGTCACAGCACCCTAAACCACAAAGTACTAGCTTCCTTAAACACCTGCTAATTCTGATGGATTCTATGCTTCACCAAGGGGTTTCCTATTGCTATCCTGTACTGGCCTCTCAGCTTTATGTTCTTTCACTGGCACTATACAGCCTTTTTTCCCACCATGGTTTTCTGATCAAAATCCCCCTCTCTAGCATCACACCAGGCATCATACACCACTTTACTTGCTAGAGCTACATAACTGTAGCCTGCTACCAGAATAGTTCCTACAGTATGACAGGATTTTTATGAACTTGCTCCACTGATGGCTGCAAGAAAAATTGCTGCCAGCAGAGGATTACTTACCTGTAGAGAGCTGGCAGATCTCCAGGCCCTTTTGTTCCCTCAGTACAGAGGGATCAAGCACACTGCATCTCCTGATAACAATGGTGACTCTTGTCTATCAGACAGTCTTTTTTTTTTTCCCCACTCTCATGAGACACTGAGTGTTTTGGTGCTGCCAGCATGAACATGATGTCAATTCAAAGGCAAAGGCTGCTCAGCCCTTTGTGGGTGTCCAGGGTAAATGAGAGCAGCTGCTTGTTCCTGCTGCATGATGCTTTCCATTTCATCTCAGCTGCAGGGCTCTAGCAGCCATCAAAGTCAGCAGTGTTCTGCATCAATCCCTCTCCCTTACAAAGGGAAACAAGTCTTATCCTAGTGAGCCAGAAGTAGACACAAGTAACTCTTACTTTTTTAAAATCTCACTTGTTGTGGACTACACATTGCACTTGCTGCCTGTTAGCAGCTCTGCATTTAGCTGTGTAGAACAGAGAGGTGCAGCCCAAATTTCTACAAAATATAACCACATATTTGTGATTCTCTGTTTTACCAGCTATAGTCCTGCCTGCCGTATTCTGTCTCCTTGTCTTTTGATGGAAAGCACTCTGGGGATGGGACACACTTGTTTCTTCTACAAAAAGTGTAAGGGAAAGTTTCAGCCCTAAGGGAAAAGTGTCTTTTTAAGTGCATATGAAGCTTAAGTTTTTGTTGAAACAATCAGTCATAGTGTGCTAAGCTTTCCAACTCTTTTTCAGTTGTTGGCTAGACCTCAGCCATCAACAAGGCATATACTGATCTAATCCATTCCTGCTCTCGTGTGTGCAAAAATAACACAACTACCATTTTATAACTAGGCCATCCCAATGACTCTAACAAGTCTATTGGTGACAAAGTAGATAAGCACATAAGACAGGAAAATAGTTCTGTAAAAAATATTAAAGGTTAATAAAACATATTTTAGCCACATCGTGTGTAACCTTACGTTGCAAAGAATTATAAGATTGAAATTTAAATCTATAATTAGCAAGTTTTTTCTTAGGCAATATGAAAATAGAAGTTTTAGATTTTAGGATGAAATATGTATTTTAAATAAACATGTACAGTGATGCAAACAAGGACCCTCTGGCTGAAAGTCAAAATAACAGTGAGCAAAGACAAACAATGGCCCAAAAAAGAAAGCATTACAAAGAAGGTCCCTCTGAAAAAAACTTGGTTTGACCTCTTACTCAAAGCAGTACTTTGATCAAGGGACAAATAATAATTTGCTTCAGATCTAGCTTTGAAATTTAAAATATAGCAAACAAATTACCAAAACATCTAAATACCGATCATTGTAACCTTATCCCAGTGATCCTATCATATCTCACCATGATGAAATAACACAGATTTTTCTCTCAGATGTCTATAATTCTGCTAAGAAGAGAGTAACAGAAAAGGTCCAGCAGTTTTGACTTGACAAAAAAGTATGAAAAAAAAAAAACAAACCACATACAGCAAAGTAAATTTTCTTTCCCCAACTTTTCTCTGTCCCTCTCTTCCTAGCTAATTCACAGTGATATAGATATAACATTACAGAACAAGCCATCTGTGACAACTGTCAGCTCAGAGGAACCTTAGATAATAGAAGAACTCACTTCAAGGAGGAACGAGGATTCAAAATTTAAAGTTAGTATTTGGAACAATAAACTGATGCAAGTGAAGAGGTCAGAAAGGACTCCTCAAAAGTCCTTGTCAGCAGGGCTACTTGAGAGGCAGAATATCTAGCAACAGAACAGTTCAAAAATAACACCTTGTATTTCTAATCAATTAAACTAACTCAGTACTTTAAATCTCAATAGAAGCTTTGCATTCTCTCTCAGCTAGCACCAAAGCTTTGTAATTGCTTTATGTGCAGACTTTCCTCGAGAGTCAAACTACAGTTATGGTTCAATGCAATTCTGCTGGGTAGAGCCTGGTAATAGAGATGAAAGAAAAACTTTGCATTCAGCTTTTATCATCGATACTTCCAGAGAAGCTTCAAGACTCAGTTTCAGATCACTACAGTGACAGGAGTCTACCCAGCCATGATTCATTTCCTGATGGTGAATGAAAGGCAAGCAGTGTGGGGCTACTGGAATAACACACATGCCATGGTCCACTTGCATTAACATCTACCCCAGCAAGGACATTGAGAGAGCTGGGTCAATCACTACAGTAAGAGCAATCTGTTTAAAGACTTTTGAGTGTGAAGCTAAAAACCATTTCATGGTCAAAACCATTTGACAGTTTCATCAGCCCTTTAGGTCACAGCCCAGTGCTGCTATAAAAAAACCCTGCAAACAAACTCATCATAGAAGTAACTGCTTTCATATCTCATTTCCAAGTGCAAGAATAATATTGTTCTTCCTAAACCCTCTGCCCCAGTCTTTTGCAACCTGAGAGGCAGTTCTTATCAGGAAAAGGTCCAGAACACAGAGGGAAGGTTCTGAAAAAACTACATTATTTTTCTGAGTGCTATACTTTTGGTGCAAGTGTTAAACTACATACTGCTTCTCTCTTTTCTTCCCTCAAGAGGCCTTAGTAAGGTGGGATAATACTTGGTACATGAACAACCACCAAGGAAAGGCAGCCTGTTTTCTCACAGTAGTAGCATTGCTAATATTGTTAAACAGAAAACAGCAGAAGGTCATTGCTTTCAAATCCCCTTTCCAGGAATAGGGAAGAAACAGAAGCACTTTCAGAAAATGACATCTCAACATTGCACTTCTTACCTCTTCCAAAAGGAAATTCAAACGACATTTTGGATAATTGTAAGTAACAAAAGCCTCCACTTTGGGCTGACAGAAGTGTTGGGCAGCACCAGACAGCCACAGCCTGCAGGAGTGATAGATAGTCCTCTCTACAAAAAACCCAAGGCATCACTGTGAAAAATCACTTCTGTAGCACAGGTAACTCATTCAGCTGGCAAGGTCAGCAATAGCTAAAGCCATCTCCCAGAAGCTACAAAACCAAGACATTTGCATCACTTACAGCAGTAAGGACCCAAGACACAATTTTTCAGCAGTCATATAGCCTTTATTATAGCCTCTTTGGACTGTAAATTTACTATCAGAAAGTCAGTAGCTCTGACACGTGGAACAATTAGGATTTGTGTTTTATACACATTACTATGTCTATTTTCGTCACAAACAGTTTAAACAAATCAAAACAGCTTGTGAACAGCTTGTTTATTAGATTTACCATAACGTTCATTCTGGGCAATTCACACAGTCAGACACCTCAAGCAAGAAACCCACATGAGAAGACCTAAATATTATTTCCAATGGATGAGCTGAACAACATCAATGAAAAAATTATTCATATTCAGACATCTCCAGTTATGTTATTTCACACACAAACATTGTTCATGCACCTCGAAGGGAATACACAGAAGCTCAGGTAGCAGCAGTTACAATATATCAACTTTGATTTCTACAGTATTTATAAGAGTTTGGGGCCATATTTTATTTTTTCTCCCCAACTTTGCCTTCAGTGTTTAACTCCTCTATTCCACACATATATAAACCCTCATCTTATCTTATAGTTTCAGTATAAACTCATCCAAAAAATCTCCTTGCTCAGAGATCATCCCAAGCCCTTACATAGTAACAACATATTGAACACAGAAGTAATGTCCTTTCTGACAGGCCTGTCAGCAGGTTTGATACCATGATCTGAATGAAGTACCTGGAAACCTTCATGTCATGGCTGTAACACTGACAGAGCTACAAGGTCTACTCAGGTGATTTTTGCAAGGTATTAGTGATAGGAAGAAATCAAATTGCACTTTTGCATGCCCTGGTTTCATTTTTCAGATAAGGCTTGTTAGAACTCAACTCACCCATCTCTCCTATAAGGCCCCATCTCTCCCTTAAGAACCAGAAAGGGTCAGCATCCAGATAACCTCATCATTTTACTCTTCAAAAATTGTAATAAAGAGCTGCACAACTTCAAAAGGCATAATATATTGCAAGATAATTAAATGCTTCAATTGGAGTATGCGAGACCTTATGTCAAACCGCAGTACAAAACCAGAAGTTTTTATGAAGTATTTTTTATGAAGTATTATCAGTTATTACTGAAACAAATCCTAACGAATCCATGCTTTGGCAGTGAGGTGTAAAAGTGAAAGCATTTTAAAGTATCAACTTGTTTTTATACTTCTCTTTCAGTTGGACTTTCAGAAATTCTGTTCCATTGGTTGTGCAACTTGGTATCCTTGTATACAAGCCAAACATTTCCTCCCCATAAAGCTGCGTTAAGCAAGCCAAATACCTGTAGGATGAGGGGAAAAAAGTGAGGCTGAGTTTGTTGTGTTTAGTTGTTTTGCCTTTTTTAAAAAAACCAAACAATAGTATGCCTTGCAAACCATAAACAGCCACCATTTTTGACACCCTTTTGGCTTGGAAAAGACATTTTGACACTCTTTAGAGTATGACAAGCTATTTTAACAGACTTCTTTGGAGATCAGATAGTCGACTTTCTCTATCCTATAAAAGAATTAGACAAATTCTTTTCAGTCACTCAGCACCTCCGCATATGCACTCCCTGAGCATATGATTAATTATTATTGGGACAATGAATAACAGCCAGAGCTTTGAAAAGCAGAATTCACTAGGAAGATCATACAATAAGCCTAATTTGCTCTGCTCTGAAGCATTCTTTCTCTGAACATGAGCTTTATATCACTGTATTACAAGGAACCTTGATTTGATGTGTAACAATTCTCACAGTTGATTAAAAAGCTGGGTTTGGCACCAAAAGACAGCAGGAATCATAGCGTTTCTTCCTGACTTATATCAGTCAGCAAACCACTTGGGTGGCTCAGTAACATATTTTAAGGTGTTCTTGTCTACAGGCATAAATAATAGGGACTCAAATGTGTCTGAAAGTGCTGCATCTAACAGCTCCAGAAATAGATCCCACAAGTTGATTATCTTGTTCCCTCAAAGAAATAAGTTTTCTTCTAAAGAAAAGAATTTGCTTGATGTTTTACCACATTATTAATGGACCTGAATGACTAATAACACATAAAGCAATTCTAACACAAAGCAATACATGTAATCAGTAGAACAGGACTCTCAGGTGCCATTTGTTATTTTCCAACACATTTATTGTACCCATATGGTGAAAGGCATACATACCACAGACAAGTTCAGAATTCCCATGCTGGTCACAGAAACAAAATTACATGTTGTTCCTGGTGCTTTACAAGCTTCAATTCCTGGAATAATGTTGGCCTCCGTGGACATTTTGATGTCAGCAAGTGCCTTTGCCCAAACAAAAGTACTGACCATCCACAAAATGGCTATCAAGACACTGATAGCCAAGTCCTACACATGAGAAGTATTTGTTAGTAGGTTAAAAAACACAGGAATATACATAGGAGCAAGGCAGAGACAGTATCAATTATATCCAAATTATCATCTGCATCAGTGCTAATGATCACAAGCAAGTTTAGTCATTAACAATGTTGCAATTAACAGCACAATGCTGATGATCAGGTACAAAACCTTTGCATCTATCAAACATAAGCAATCTTATCCTTCATAAGAAATCTGTTTCTAAAAAATCAGATACCTAACATTTACATTATAAAAATTTAAGTCAAAGTTCAGTAAAAGTGGGGGTGACAGGTGAGAAGGGGCAGGTGATTTAGATCTGGCCTGAGGTCACTGGATCCATTTCTGAGCATGCTCTGAAATTTCTCATTCTAGGCTTCGATATTTAAGGTGACTAAAATTCACAAGGTAACTACTTCCCTCTGCTAATTGCATCTGCACAGCAGGTGCTCTACACAGGGAAAATTCTCAGAGATTAACAGTAGAGGTCCCACCTATGAAACAATTGTATATTCAAATACATGATACAAAAGAAAAAAAAGTTGTGGTGAAGACATTGTTCACCTGAGAAAGTGAAAATTCATTCCACTCTGCTTCAATAACTGCAGATGGTATGATGTCATAGAAGTCCAAGGGCTTTGGGCCCCCTTTTCTGCTGGAGTGCTCTAGCAACTAGTCCGAGATACCTGTGCTCACACGCCATGTAACTTTCAGAACTACTGAATATCCACGAGTTATTCTTGCATTAGCAGTATTCCTCATCTCTTTGTGGTTTGAAAGTCAAAACATTAAAATATCTTAGTATTACTTACAGTTAGTGGAAACTTGTTATTTTGCTGATACACATGGTTGTATCCAATATATACCACAAGGGCAACCATGCAGTAGAGGAACACCAACACCCCAAGTGTAACAAAGAACTGTGCAGAAGAGGAGAAGTTGCCCACAAGATGGACGTCAGTCCAAGTACCAGCACAGCCTTTTGGGTCTGGTGCACTAAATTCAACAGTATTCAACCTGAAAAGATTATATCCTTCATGTAGTTAGAGTTTGTTATACAGTAGAAACTTCATGCTGTCACGCTTCATAATAACAGTGCTTAAACATTCCGGTTGCAAAAGTTTACTTTATAAGATTATTTATATTTGTATAATGTAGCAGTTATGCAACAAATATTTGTCAAGCTATCTGAAGATTGTTCCCTATCCCACACTGAGATCTACAGTAGTAGCTTTAGGAGAAGGGTCATAATCTTATTGAGTTGAACTAAGAAACTCCAATTTGGAAGCAGACTTAACAACATTATTTTAGACTGGCAATTAAATAAGGGGATCAAGACTTAAAAGGCATAGTTGCATTACAGCTACAGGAAAATGCAAGCACAGAAGTTGAGTAAAACTCATGTGACTAGCAGTGACCACTCAGTAACCGGCACAAAGTCATTTCAGACCCCCACTCTTCCCTCCGAATGCTGTTACCAATGTTGGGCTTTGTGGCCAAATTCTATACTTTCATAGTGGTTTTTGCTGGGTGGCTTCTGAATCCATTTCAATACTTATGTTGATTGAAGACATATGAAACACTGACCCTGTGCTTGTTGCACTTGTACAGCTGCAAGGGCAAAGAGGAAGCTTCGTCCTCCTGCTCCAGAACAGGAGCTTGTCTCTACAAGAGCACTGCAGTGACACTGGAGTATTTAGTTTTTCTGTGCCCAACACCCTCAGAAAGCTAATGGTGGAATAAACTGAGAAGTATGTATTTTCCTTTCAGTCTTTGCAAAATTGTAGGATAATGGCAAGTCCAAAATAATCTTCAAAGCAGCTACAAATTGATGAAGAATTGGGCTGTTAAAATTAATTGTATTGTTTTGCCTACTAATTACTTTCTGTAGCATTCATGCACTGCTAGACTAAAGCTTAAGGTAGAGAGATACAAAGCAGTAACACAGCCTATTGCCATTTCTACCTGCTTCTTTCCATAAAGCACAAACAGCTACAGTGCTTTGAACAATTACAACTAAATATTTATGTATTGCTCCTACAGAGCAAGCCAGAAGTTTCACATCTTCATTTAGATATACACAATAAGTACATAATCATAAGGAGACAGATGGGGAAAAAAGAGAATAATAAATAATCACTGAGTGACCACCGCAGAGATAATGCTCACCTGAATGGATAAGCAAAAGCAGCTGTAACTGTTTTGTTTACCACACCTTTGCAGGAAACTAGAAGGGTAGTTTTACCTTGAAAGCCTCCACATGTGGCAAGAGCAAAAATGGCAAAGATCTATAGGAATTGATACACAGACACATTAGTGCACATCACTTAAACTCAAAAGAAAAACTCTGCATTCAGCTGAAACAGCTAAAGATGACAAGAAATAGGGACAAAGCTAGTAAAGGTCAAATATGAAGTGATATCAAGAAGAAAACTTTGAGTTTCTGTAACCCAAAACCATGAGCAACACTGCTAACCAAAGCCCATTTGAAAGCACTTTGTGTTTATTTTTAGTCATACAGAAAAAGTCTTTTGTCTGGGTTTTTGGTTTTGTTTCTTTTTAAATGCTAACAACCAGCACAGTATTTCTTGCAGTTGATCAGGGAAATACTTTTACAAGTCTCAGATACCCACAACTGTAAGGTAGAGTAACCAGAAGGTACATGCTCAGAGTATCACACATCAACTTAACTCTGTAAGTAGCTCTTATTTTCCCTTTGGTCACTGGCCAAACACTAAACCCCTGATCACCAGAACATGCAACACACAGCACTATAAGGTACTGTAACACACTTGTAATTAACACATTGAGTTTATGTATCTGCAGAAGTGTTTCCTTCACTGCCAACCAGAGGGCTTGGCTGACAAGCAGCCTCGTGTTGGACACTCACTACCAGCAACTGGGGATAGAGAGGTGGCAGCCCATTAGCTCACACCTCTTCAGCTCTACCCAGCTCAGGCACAGGAGCAAATCCAGGCCTGGGGAAGGAGAAGAAACAGCCCCACTCACCCACTCAAGGACCTTAACAAAGCCCAGAGCCTCCAGGAGCATGCTGAAGTCCACTCTCAAGCCAGCCATCCTGGGAGAGGCAAGCAGGAACCAAGACTAACACCTACCCACTATAGCAGCCTCAGCAGCACCTTTTTATAAGGGCACCCCATACCCCTGCCACACCCCCTCACCTGGCAATGGGGATGAGCCCACTCACAGATCCCTCAGCTGGAGCTCTTCAGCCTCAGACCTTTCTGTGGGCTGGGGAAGTGGTGCAGTGACTGTCACAAGGGGAAGCAGCACTGGCCATTTTGTGCAGTGAGTAAACAGTGACTTCTTCCCCATCCCCTTCCTCCACCACACACTTCGGACAATCATATGTGCCATACTTTGAGCTTGATGATTTGATGGCAAACAAGGCAGGGGCACTTGACAATTCATATGCTTGCCAAAATCTCACCAACTACTTTTTTAATTTGTGGTGTGATTTGATTGTGACTGCTTTGTTGCTGATGTGTTAATCACCAGTAAAAGTGAAGAGCTAGAACTCATGCTGAAGAAGGGCTGTGAGAGAGGCTGTCCTCTGCCCTCCTCCCTGGCCAGAGAGCCAAGGTGACCATGGGCACAGCACTCACTGCTGCAATTTCCTGGCTCTGCTTCAAGATCTTTTAGAAGCTTCTTCAGGGCTTACTGGGGGACTCCAGGGAACCTTCTGAGGAGCATCAGGGTGTCTGCTGATGCTCTAAGGAAGGGGTGGCTAAGGAAAGTTGTGGCTGCTCCTGGTAGAATCTACCTGATCTGACAGCTTATAGGAAGATCTGTGAGCAGACCCTGGCCAAAGGGTACTGGGAGGTTTCATCCCAGCTGAGCCCTGTTATTGCCACCAGGCAGCCTTGCAGCAGGTGCCAAGGAGATGCCAATGGAAGAGCTGGCTTGGAGTGCAGCTCCTGGGTGCAGTTAGTGGGTGCAGCAGCTGGTGCTGAAGGGGGCCAGCAGTCTCCATGGAGCAGCAGATGCATGCTCAGCTGTGGTGGTGATGTGCTGTGGGTCACGGGGATCAGCTCTCCCTGGTGCATCAGAGCCTTGGCTCAAACCAAACTGCTGAGGGCTAGTGCAGCTCTTCAGTCCCAGGGCTGACAAGCTGAGGAGTTTTGTGGACCTGTTACTGATAGGTAAGGAAAGACTGGTCAGGACTATGGAGACTGGGGTCAACTTCGACCGAGCTTGCTCTGTGATGGATGTTACTACTGTGAATAAGTCTTGGGAGGCCAGCCAAAGGTGGGAATACATGAGGAAGCTTCCCAGCTGGGGACTACATGTGAGAACAATAGCAAAGAGTCAGTGTTTCAGCTGGCCTGAGGCTGCACTTGCAAAACATTGGCAAGAACTCACACAGTTCAAGGAGGATTTTTGACCCTAGCTTTCTGTACAATGACCAAAAGAGGTGCTGACATCTGCCTCCTGCCATGGGATCCCGGAGGTAGTCCAAGCCAGAGCTGTGGAAAGGAGGCCTCTTTCCTTTCTTTCACTGCTTTTGTTATATACATGAATCTCACAAAAAATGCCCCATGATCCAGAGAAGCAGTGCTGAGGGTTCAAGCTACCTTGGTTAGCTTAGCTGCCTGGATAGCCCGTGCCTATAAGGAGTAAAACAGGAATACAAAAACAGGGACAGATGAAGACGAAATATCTCTTTGCTTATCTTCTCCACATCCTCCATGTTGAAGAAAATCTGTTCCATATATACGTGGCATATAAAATCTTAGTTCAGCCTAAATCAACCAAGCAACTCCCTGCCCTTTCATCCAATATACCTCTGTAATTTTTTTTTCTTCCTTCCCTCTTCCCCATATTCTACTTAAATCCTACAAGCAATGTATCTCCCTAAAAACACATATAGACCCTTGTTTGATTACTCTCCTTTCCCACTTGTCAGTTAGTTAAAACCATTTCATTATTTAAGGCATTCTTAAAAAATGCTCTTTTGGGTTTTTTATATGTTTTATATGTTTTTTCTCTCTCAAGTCTTTTCACATCTCCAGTATGGATGTACTCTGAACTATATACAGTGTTCTAGCTGTGGGCTTAGTAATTCAAAATTGGAAAAGACTGTTAATTTTTCACTCCATATAACTTATCTGTCTACTGAGGTTAAAAGTATTTTGGAACATTTTTTATAGTGGATTGCATTCCAAGGTGATATCAAACATTAAAATGTAAGTAGTCCTCCCTGAGAGTTAATGTCATAACCTGAAACAAATTCTGGATCAATCTCTGCAAGGGAGAGTTTAAGCAGGAAGACTGTATACTGTTTAGGAGCACCAAAAAAGCCTATTACAGAAAAAGAGAATTATTTTGATTGAAAAATCAGCTTGTCTTAAAGGAAAAGTGACAGAAGTATAAAAAATATAGAACAAATGTGAGAAAGGAGAAGCTGATAATAATATAAATTGCAGAAGAGTGATAAGAAGAAAAGTGATAAGAAAGCAAATGGATCAAGGGACCAGTATATGGTCTACAGGCTTGCAGACAACAGCTATGCATTTTTGAAACATAGGAAGACAAGAAGAGCTTATATCGAAGTGAACAGACAGAAATGATGGAATCACCTTAAAAAAAAAAAAAAAGAGAGAGTGAGAGAGAATAAGGCAGGAACAGCCAATATTGTATTCTGTATTTGGGAAAAAGCAGGACAGTATTAATATGCTAATCATGTAATAAATCCTTTCCACTCCACCATGTCTCAGGGGAGTGCTGAGTCACATCTGCTAAAGCTTCTCTATCAGTTGTCAATACCCAGCAACCCCAGCTTGGACAGGGCTGATAAAGGAGCTCTCTTAATAGGAACAATAATTGCCGGTCATCTATGAAACACTGGTTCAGATCCAGATGTCTGAATGCTAAGGCAATATAGGCCTATCCATTTATCTCAATTCCTGAGAAAAGAGATGGAGTGACTGATGCAGAACCCTCTTGGTAGAGAATCAAATTAGAACAATACAGTTAATGTCAAGCTACACAGTCGTTTGGAAGTCAGTTTTTGCTGATTAGCTGATGCTTAAGCTGATCAAAAGACTGGGTTGATAATAGTTGACACTGTAACATAATTCCAGGTTCTGGGAGCTTTTGGTGGATATTTGATGACTCTGAGAGGATATAAAACTGATGTAAACACTGATTTAATTAGAAAGTAGGTACCTGATTGCTCTTTAACTGAAAATCAATATTATTAGTGAAAAAAACACCCTGTTTCTCAATATACCAGGTCCCATCCTCTGGAAAATAAAAAAGGACAAAGGTGTTTATATTGCTGGTCTCATGGTGTCTGACAAGGCTGTGGAAGAGGCCTGTGGGATTCCTGGCTGCCCCAGAGACATGTCTGCAACAGAGACAGCAAAGTGATTGTGCCCCTGCATGAGGAGTGAGTGAGCTTCCCCTGGAGCACTGTGCAGGTCTCATTTACTAATGCTTGTGGAAGATTAATTCAAACTATCTGGATGATTAAGGGTCACAGAGACCTCATTTTCTAAGAGTGAAAGAACTTGGGTGGTTCAGCAAAATGAAGGGTAACTTCAGGTATTACTGCTGGCTTGGAGTTCAAAAGGGAGTAGACACAGAGAAGGCAGAGATTTGTGCTAAAAGGCAGATTTACCAAAGGGATCACTGCATGTAATCAAAGAATATAATTTATGTTGAACATAAAGTGTGAGTATGAGATTCTGGAAATATGTTCCAACAGAAGGCAAACACTGAAAAAAAATTGTTTTAGAAGGAGTTCAGAATATGTTGCTCGTGATAGCACAGGAAAAAAAACCGATGGCTCACGATGTTCTTAGCCCATCCAATCCCCTATGCAATCCAAACAAGGATTAATTCAGGGAAGTTCTGAACTCTGTGTTTATAGATAAAGCAAGAGTGGGTGATTAAGTTAATACTTATCTGGCAGGGGAGGCACCATTGCACAGGACTGCTCTGTCCACAATGCTGTCTATTTGGCAGGTCTGGAAACTTCAGGTGGAGAAAGTGCTTTTCTTCCTCCCAGATTAGATAAATCTTACATGCCACATAACTCTCTACAGGTAGTTTCTGGTGATGTAATGGGCTGCATTTGTTAGCTGTTTATCTGTGTTCTAGTATCTCAATAATTTTATTTGCTTGTGCACTCTGATGCTTTAAATCTTTCCTCTTTAGACCTGCGAACACATTTACTGTTCCATTTATTTCTCATTGGCTGCCTAATAAAAACACGAAGTTACATTGTTCCTTTTCCCTGACTTTTCTAGTACCCCTTTACCTTTTCTCCAAGACTTTGGAAATCACTGTTTAGTGTGTTTGATCTTTGCTAAAAGTCCTTGAGATATATTTCACTGCATGTGCCATTTGTCTCTCCAAGCAGGTTTTAAGTTCTGTAGTTAATACAAGTTAAATTTTCTGAGATATCGTATGAATTTTTTTAAAAGACCCAAATTCTAGGTATTTTACGCTGCCTTTATTTAATTTACTCACAGCAGCTTAGTTACTTCTGAACTATTATGGTGCTTATTAGTACCCTTTCTGCCTTGAAGTTTAATTTTCTACTATTGCATGTGTAAAAATTCTTGTTATTCTCCTTAATTCCTGGGGAAGCCACTGAAGGGCAGGTAATCATGTTCCCTACTGTCCACATTTCTGTGTGCATTTCCAAAGGGCAAGAGAGAAAGAAGCCCTTCTCAGTGAGGCAGTAGCTCCTCTGGAGGATGTTTCAGAGCAGAAGTTTCCTGTAGCTGCTCTTGCCTCCCAGGTAGTGTGATTTCCATAGGAGATCACAATTTACAGGCGAATCCTGTGGCTCAATTTTCATAGCTCATCACTCTGTAGGTGTTAACTAGGTACTATGGGACCTCCCCTTTACAGGATGCTGGGGTGTGCCTTGTTCTCTGAGTACACTTTGGAAAGTAATTGCAGAAGACAGAGTTTTGGAGGATAACAATTAACTCTAAAAGACAAAGAATATGATGCATTCAGTTGGAAAAAAATTTGTAAATTGCACTGCGGAGTTATGAATCTTCAGGCAGAATTGATTCAGCTGCTTATTGAAAGGGTTTGTCTGGGCATGCTGGGTGGCTGCAGGACTGTGCAGAGTCCTGTTCTACCATCTAGTGGCGTATTGGGACAGTGCACAAGGTAGAAATTGCCCATTTTCACCATGAGGTTATCATTAATTTAATAAATTATTATTAATTTGTGTTTGTAATTTCTGAAACCCAACAGAATTTCTTAGATGAAGTGAAGCCATTAAGAATGGCTGATTTGAAGTGGAAAATAGGTGGAAAGGGGCTAGAAGATATTCTCTGCTGCAGTCAGAGCACTTAAGGTTGATGTGGGTTGCCAGTAGCATCTCTGAATATACACTAGTCTCACTGTGCTTAGTACTGCATGCGATCTGTACCTTACAGCAAAGCACACCTCTGTAGTGCTATTATTAATTTACTTTTTGATGAATCTAGAAATCAGAAAAGCCCTTCCCTTTTCCCTCTCTTCATTTTTTTTGACAGTAATCTCTGAGAATTAATCTAGTAAATTCAGTTTTGACCTTATCATGCTACTTCAGGCAATATCTGTCCATCACACTTCAGCCAACTGCTGGGTTTTCTGGTGTTTTACGTGCTGCTTGGTTGGCACTGACAATTAAATAAACATACTCCATCCATGGCTCCGCTGTTCTCTGCAGGAGGTTATACTGTCACATGTTTGAACTGATCAGAATGAAAAATAAACCTGTAAGTAGAATTTTTTGTGCCAAATGGATGCGAAAAAAGCTTGTGCTGGCACAAAGCAAGAGGTGGTTTGAGGCAACATCTCAGGAGTGTTGAGAATTTTGCTCCCAGCAGAAAATGCAGGGTAGGACAAAATCCCTTGCGAGTTCCCAAATGTGCCAAATCGGGCTCCTGAACTGGACTCAAGGTCAGCTCAGGGCCTGTTGTAGAATACTGACTCTCAAGATTAAAGAAGTTTTAAAATGTGTCCATTTATTTGTTGGATGATTAAAACGCAGCATCCACTCTACATGCTGCTATAAAATTGTTTGTGTTTTTAACCAAATCTCATTAGAAGTTTATGTATAATTAATTATACAATTGAGCTGAATGCATTACTTTTTTTTTCCTTCTTTGTTTTTCTTGAAGGTTCCAGATTTCCCAACTGTTGACAAAGGATGTGTTAATGACATCATTATGAAGTTCTGTTGTTTACTATTTTCTTCAACAAGTAGTAATTTTATTGACTTTGGCAGAGAGATTGGTGTTTTGCATGATTTCAATAGATTTTGTGACACAGAGGCATAATATAAACCAAGATGTTCCAGAATAAACAGGACTATTACTACCAGATGGAAATAGTCATGAAGCATTATTGGACTTGAAAAAACAAAAACATTTTAGGAAAAACATTTTAGGAGTCAGCTTAATCATTCTGAAAACAATATCTAAGTCTAAAGTACTGCTTTTGGAGAAAACAACGGAAGGGTATAAATAGTAATTATTTCAGATCTTGCTACTTTATTGTCTATGCATATATTTTGAATATGTGAGACTTTAAAAGACTTGCCAACACACTTGAGTTAGTGTTGTAATTTGAATCTGAAATGAGATATTTCTGATTATAACACAAATCAAGGCAGCTAAAACTCAGAAGATATTCTGGCAGCAAACTTATTGAACTTAGAGACAAGAAATGTTGGCTGACCTTATTTGTAGAGGTGGTCAAATGATTAATTGTGATTTTCAGATGAATTCTAAATTTATTCTGGTAACAATAGCTTATGCAGTCAGTGGATAATGAGCCCTGGCAAATAACAGGTTTATAACTCAAATCTGGGTTGTGGACATCAGGCCGCAAAATAAAAATTAATCTATTCAACAGTACAAATATTTCTCATCCTAAATGGTGAGGAAGGAAGTCTGTGTACTTGGGTGGAATAACTGTACGCGAATACAGATGGTCAAGCAGGTAATATTTGTCTGCCAAACAAGACACAATAGATATTCTTAGAGAATCTGTTAAGAATTTGAAAACAAATAAATGCACTGGGTAGGTGATATATTTTAGATCAAAAATTGCTAAAATACATACAGATTAAATGTAGTGAAAATAGCAAGGAAAGTGAAATCTCAAACGGAGGGCACAAGCAAATTAAAGTGTTGCTATGTATTTAATTCAGTTATTATCTGACAGGATTAAATTCTTTAGAAAACAAAACACAAACTAAACAGGTCTCAAGCAGCCTACATAAATAAAAAAGCCTTTCTTAATGTCATTAAATGCAAATGCTACTCAGTTAAAAAAAAAAAAATCATAAATCCTTAGTCCAAAAATTCATAGTCTCCCAATTGCAAGGGTGAGCTCTCTTTTTGGTGCAAGTCAAGGGTTCATCTTCACATAGAAAAAGCAAACTGTACTGTTGGCACTGTAATGGCTACATGTGTAACATCTTTCCTCAGGACTGCTTCAGCACTTGACACTTAGCAGAAACAGAGTAGGTGCACAGTGACCCCCCTGGCTTTTTCTTGTTGCTTCTAATCAGGGAAAAAACTGGAGCACTACTAATACCTTCCAGACACACTGTGGGCTTCAACAGGAGCATGACTTTCGGCAGGGAAACTGAGCAAATGAGGATACCATTTGAGAAAAAAGATATTGTAATGTTGGCAAATTATCCTAGGAAAACAATACCACAGGGAAACCAGAAGAAAAAAATCTCCTGTAAGCAACCTGGCACGTCCAGACTTTCAAGTACTTGAACTGTAAAAAGCTGGCCCTCACAGAATGATTTTTAGAAATCAGGTAGAAGATTTTCTTTAAGACTTTTTTCAGGTTAATTTTTAAAAAAAATTCTTAACTTTCCAGACCTTATCAATGTGTTGAGTGGCAATATGGACACAGTGTAAAATATAATATAAAATGCTGCAGAAAACCTTCGTTTCCTCAGCTTCAGCAAATGAAATGTGTCCGGGGACCTTCCTGGACTCCAAGTCAGCTGACATGGGGCTATCTGACTTTCTGCTCAAAAAGCCTCAGCCTCCAAACCCTGGCTGCTGTATGACCTGGTTGTAACCATCTCTGGACTACCATCACTCCTGAACTGTGCCTGGGAATTATTTGGGAGCATGTCCATGTGTCCAATTCCTACCCTGGAGTGCTTCATCAGTTTGCTGACTGACAGTGCTCCAGGGCAGTGGCTCTCCTTGCCACTCCTGAATTTTTCTCGTATTGAAGCAGCATTTTTGTGGGAGGGCTGGAACACCCGTAGAGAGAGAAGTTGCCTGGGATTTCCTTCTCATTCCCTCTTGAAGAGACTCTCATCGCTCTCTCACCTCTCCAGGCACTCAGCTGCTGGTGTCAGTGCTTGCAAGCCTGGTTTCTTCCTTCCACCATCTCCTCCTTCCTTCATACCGCCTCCATTTTTCACAGGTCTCTCTCATGTTAATCAATCCTAGGGGGAATTTTTCCAGCCTCCTGTGATGGGAGATAGAAGGCAGCAGGAGACTGGCAAGAAGCCAGGCAGGCAGGGGAATAATAATAATGCTGCCTTTTATGCTCCAAATCCATTTTACTGTAAGCATCCTGCTGTACAAGCCGTTTCATGAGCCATTCATCATATTCACAAATAAGCCCTTTACTTAGAGAAAATTTCGAAGAACAGAAAGCTCAGAAGGAAATGCTATGCTGCCTGATTGTGTAGTCACTCTGGTTTTCCTCACGTGTCCCGATGCCACCGTCATTGCCGTAAGTCCTTCAGCAAATCCCCGCAGGTCAGTAGCACACGGCTGGTGGGTCGCGCCTCACCTGGGCAGAGCCCGCACAGCCCCGGCTCTGCCGCGCCCTGAGAGGCACCCGCTGTGCCGCCGCCTCCCCACCACGGGCTGCTGTGCCCCCGCCTGTGGGAACGGCTGATTTAAAGCACCCAAACCCAGGAGTCGGTTCTAGGAGTTAACACAGCTCGTGTTTCAGCGCTGGAAATGCTATGTTTTGACTGGCTTCCTGGGGATTTTTCCAGTGGCTGGTTTAATCAGTCCTGCTGGTAGTCTGTCAGCCCCAGGCAGCGTTTCGGTACATAAAGCTGCAACAACCTCTGAGGGGCACAGGCAGCAAGCTGCGAGGCTGTCCCAGCTTGGCTGGTTCTGTAAAGGCATAAATCCACCTGCATTTCCTCCCTTCATCCCTTCTGCACTGAGCATGCACCAAATTCTTGGCTATACGTAGTGCCTAAAAATTCTAGCTTCCCTGTGCTAGGGGTTTGGGGTTTTTTGGAGCTCCCTCCAACAGGTATATATAGGCTTGGCACATAACACATGCATACATAATCTACATTAAACTATGAATTACAAGCATCTGATTAAAAGGCATATTGTTAATGGAAGGCAGAATTTAGGCCCTAAGTGTTTTGACAAAACCTTCTGTAAGATGGAGCTTTATTCAATTTTTTCATTAAGTTGCTATAAATCAAGAATAACTCCCTGAAAGTCATATTCCAAAAATAGATGCCATTGAGCATGTCCTGTGGAAATAAATAGTTTTAATGGAAGTATCTGGCTTCAGTGTAAAAGCATGAAGACAGAAATCAACTCAAATGAGAGCAGTTGTATACAGAGGTGTGTGTTCACGTGGGAATATTCCACTCTTCTCTGTACATGTAAAATGAGGTTCTCACCTGGACAGATAGTACCAAAACTGGATATAAATAAGAAGTTTTACAATGAAGGTGGTGAAACAGTGGAACAGGTTGCCCACTGTTCAAGGTCAGGTTGGATGGGCTTTGAGCAACCTGGTCTAGTGAAAGATGTCCCTGCCCACGGCTGGGAGCTTTGACCAGATGATTTTTAGTGGTTTCCTCCAACCAAAACCGTTCTTTGATCCTGTGAAAAATTATGATCCCTCTAAGTTCCACAGATTCATTCTTTCCCAGCAGCTTTTCTCTGGATGAGAAATTATGACAGTAATGAGATTCATCAAGTTGTAAAAAATATCTCCTTCTTTTCCACAATGCCACGGGCAAATGGAATCCCTCACCAAATCCTGTGTGTCACAACTCATTTGAGGCTGGGACAAGAACTTACATAATTTTCAGTATCTTTCTCCTAGTTTTGGGCACTGCCAGAGAGTATGGATATACAGGTACAGTATAAATTTAAAATTCCCCACACCGCACCGGTGACACTCTTCTTTACATACTCACAGTAGACTAATTACTCAGTAGCTTTCTTTTCAGCCTCATTTTTCAAATGCCTATTGCCAAGTGAGAAGGGTTTAATGGCTTGGCACAAGATTCAAGGGGTGCTGGAGATGTCCCTGCTGAACTGCGATTGAATGTCAACAAGCCATTAGCCGAGATCGTTTATTCCGTGCTGAACACTTTACTTCCACTTAACCTGTTCCATTACAAATAAACGCCGGCTTCTGACGGCAGACGGACAGTCCTCGCTCAAGACCCGCTCTGACGTGCAGCTCGGCAGCTCCCGGGATGGATCTTCGGGCAATGCCTGGCTCATCCCCAGCCCTCCTGGCTGGGAAGGCGGCCGTGGGCTGACACGTGTCCGGGGCCAGCCGGCAGCGCCGCCCGGATGGCTCAGACACGGCAGCGTCCTTTCACACTCAAAAGACCCTGGCGTGCCTCCGTCCAAAGGGCTCTGCATATTTGGCAGTCGGCCTGCTTGTGATTTTCCAGTGGTACGTGTTCAGCAACGTCTGCCGTCAGCTTTGGCAGATGCAAGGAAAACGTTTTGTAGACCTGGAAAATTCCCAGTGCTCACACTCCGTCTGACTGGTTAACAGCATCCTCCTCCAATGGCAGCTCTGGACTGAGAGGTATCAAAGAGCTTAGGGCCTTAGAAAGGAAGGAAGAAGGGCAGGGAGAGAAGAAAAAAAAAAAGCAAAGAGCAATTTTTTCACTCTTCAAGAATTTCATTATATTATTTCTTATTCCAAGTATTCAAAATTTAACAGTTGGTCCTCAAAACTGTGCTGTTTTTAAGCCATGCAGTTAAATTAAAAATCAGTCTCTTGGTGTAGCTGAGATTCCTTTTATTAGTCCTCTGATCTTTTGCCTTTTGGAGGTGACATTTGCCAGCTTTTCTCTGCAGTCTCAATGACTAGAAGCATACTCTTCATTGTCATGAAAGCTGAGATCCTCACATAATCATATGACTCCAGAAGCTGGGGATAGAAGTACATCGTGTTCCATGGGACCTGCCGTCAGAATGCTGGCAACACCGCAAAATTTCCCCGGAGAGCTCATCCTGCCACGCTTAATATAATGTACAAAGATAATGTACAAAGTCTCAGATGAGCTGAAGGAGCAATCTAAAGGGCACATTCAGCCCTTTGCAAATAACCAGCACTAGCCTACAGATCATGCACCTCTCAAATAGGACCTGTCCATCAAGGTAATGCTGACATTCATGTTGACCTCAGGACGGATTGAATTTCCCTCAAGGTGCATTCAGAAAAGCCACCAGCTCTAGTGGTGACTGTAAAAGTGAATGGTAGCAAAATCTCAGACCTAGAAAAGGATTTGGGGTTCAGCTTTTCCTTTTTTTTTTTTTTTCTTCTTATAGATGGCTTATTCCCCCCCAATCTCTCTGGTGTTGTCCAAAAATTGTGTCTAATTTAGAAAGCATCTTTTGGATTAAGGTAATAGTACGATATATACAGAGAAGGAAAAAAGTATGAAATATTTTGATTAATATGTGACATATATGAATAAAATATACACGTTCAGAGATAAGATTTCATTTTCACATATTTTCAGTTAAAATGCTCTGATTTTTTCACTTTGAAAGCATGTTTTATTGTAAAATTTACCTTATTTAATGATGAGAATAAATTCAAACCTGATCAGACACAAAATATGTCATTATGGGTATGACAGAGTCTTTCAACCGCATGTGATTAAAATGTGGTTTATTTCAACTGCCATATTAAGAAAATCAGTCCTTGGCCTGGGACTTGTCTCAGACGCTCTGACAATGCAGAAAATTGTCCAGGAACCTGTGGGGAGCCAGGGCTGGAGGTAGCAGAACCCCCGAAGTGCCCCCTGATGCTGCAAAGGCATTAATGACTTTGTCACTGCAAGAGCTGCTTTGGGGAGAGGAGGTCACATTGCACCCAGCTGCTGCCTCCTGCTCCAGCTGGTGCAAGAGCACTTCGGTGTGAGCCAGAGATTGTGCAAAAGCTTGTGAGGGAGCAGGGAGTGCCTGTGAATTTTGTAATCAGCTGGCAGTGCATTTTCTGTATTTCTGTATGAGAGTGGAAAACCCAAATGCACTTGCTGATAGCCCTCTCACGGACATTAGAGGCACTGCACCCAAGCAGAATCTGCTCCTTTTAGGATGCAGGTTAACTCTTTTGTCTTATTATAAGAATTATTACTGAGGAAAGGAGAGGAAATAAGAGGGATCGATGTCTTATTTTTTTTTCTCCATAATTTACATAGCCAGATAGAAAGTTTCATTATCTTCTGGATTCTGGAGCAAGTTTGGACTGAAGGTTGTGCTGAGGTGTCATGGTTTAACCTCAGGCAGCAATTAAACCCCATGTGGCCACTTGCTCACCACCCCCTCTGTACTCCCACTGGGATGTGGAAGAGAATCTGAAAAACATAAAACCTGTGAATTAAGAATAGTTTAATAATTGAAATAGAGTAAAATATAATAAAAACAATAATAATAAAAACAACTATAGTGGAAAAGAGAGGGAGATTGAAAGGAATAAAATCCAAGAGGAAAAACAATGATGCCCAATACAATTGCTCACCACCCACTGACTGATATCCAGTCAGTCCCTGAACAATGATTGGCCCTTCCTGGACAACTCTCCCTGCTTTATATACTGGGCATGAAGTTCTATGGTATGGAATATCCCTTTGGCCAGTTCTGGTCAACTGTCCTGGTCACGTTCCCTCTTGACTTCTTGGCTCCCTGGCAGAGCATGAGACACCGAAAAGTCCTTGACTTAGGGGTCATCACTGCTGAGCAACAACTAGAACATTAGTGTGTTATCAACATTATTTTCATACTAAATCCAAAACACAGCACTGTAGCAGCTACTAAGAAAAAAAAATTTACTCTATTGCAGCCAAAACCAGGACACAAGGAATGGATTTCTTGTCCTGATTTAGGTTGACAGCTCTGGGAGGAAGGGGTATATGCTGCAAGAATAGTTCTTGGCTACTCCAGAAGTCTAGAAAGCTCTGTCTTGGTAGCACGTTTCTAGGAAAGGCATTTGGCACAAGTACTGGCCAGGTATTTTGTGGCACGTTTTGCCCCGATGATGTTTTCCCAGTGTCTTTCCAATGGCAGGGGAGGGGGTAGAGTGCCCCAGCACAGGGTGGGGTGACACACCTGGTTGTGGTTAGCACAAAAATAAAATGCTGAGTTATGGAACATGCTCAGACAGGAAATCACTTATTTCCTTGCGCAGCTGCTATGACAGCAATGTTGATGTTGGATCTTCCCTAGTTGAAAGGAAAAATAGGACTTGATTTCAGTACAAACGAGTTGTTGCCTCACTCTGGAAGTTGGTTTTCTCCAGCCCATGTGAACAGAGTATCAGCCAGACAAGCTGCCAGAGATGGACAGTTATACATTTATCTTCCTTCATCTACAAGATGCACGGCCCTGAGTAAGGAAAAAATAGTGATTTAATTCTGCTTGGTTGTACCCAGTAAGAAACAAGGAAGGATTTTCCAATAGCACTAGAGGTAGTTTCATTTCTATTGCCCTCGAGACAGAGGTTTATATAGTCCTGTCACTTGAGGGCAGCTGCTTGCACTCTTAACTCCTATGTTGTCTCTGGGGA